TCTCTCACTGTCCACTGGTCCAGCAGTGGGCTGTGATTGTACTCTAGACAAGAGTGGAGAGACAGAAACAGCTCAGGCAGGAATCCAGCTTTGAAGAAGTTATCTCCCCTTGAGCTTGCTTGGGTTGGAAGAAGGTGATTCAGAATGGCTGAATGAGGGATCCCAGGGGACTGGTTCCCTGTGCTCAGGTCCCAGGACCTGAGATGCTTGACCTGAAGAAGGCCTAGAGCTGAAAGCTCTTGAGGAGACCCAGGCTTCAGTGAATATGGCAAATAAGCATAGATACTCTTTTAGTCCTGAATAGCCAGAGAGTGGAAATCAGACACAAGGCAGAACAAAAGCAAGCATCTGAGACATAAAAATTCTGGACCTCAAAGAGAGAAGAACTGTCCTTCTTGAAGGGATAGTCACAGAGGTGGTAGCTGGACACTGATGGGAAGGACTGGCCTCTGCTCTGGAGTCTCAAGGGGCCATTCACATGAGGCAAACTCCTGCTTCCTGGATCTTTCTTGGTTCCCATGCTTCTCCACTGAGAAGTCATGGCAAACTGCCACCCCTGCTCCTCCAAGTCACCACACACATAAACACATACACACACACACCCTTACACACACACCCTTACACACACCTACACATATATGTACATGCACACCTACACACACACATATACACATACTTATATGCACACACCTAAACCTGCGCACTTACATACCCATCTAAACACACACACCTACACATTCACAGCTACACACTTACACACATATGCATACACACACCTAAACACAAACCTACACACACACATACCTATACATATATGGCTACACACACAAGCACATCTACACACATCTACACACACACCTACACACACATCCTTACAACACACACTTACACACATGCACTTACACACACACCCCTACACATGCATAGCTACATACTTACACACGTATGCATACACACACCTACACACACACACCTATACATACACATCTACACACACAAGCACATCTACACACATACCTACACACACCTATACACACACTTGCACACACAAGCACTTCTACACACACACCTACACACACACTTGCACACACACACCTAAACATGCACACTTATACACACTTACATACTCACAGTTACACATACACAGCTACACATACACACATGTGTACACACACACACCCCAGCCTCACTTCCCAGATCCCCTCCCATATTCTGCCCACATCTCTCATTCCTTTTTCCATTAGCTTTGCTGAGGCCAACGCTGCCTCTGCTGCTCTGGCTACCCCTGACCAAGGGAACAGAAGAATTGAGGTCAAATCTTGTCCTAACAATCTTACCACTGTGGCAGGGGTAGGGGAGGGTGACCTAGAGTGGCAATGTGTCCAGCCTATGACAGCCTTCAATAGGAAAACCCAGGGAGAGAGGGACTCAGCTCTGTGACTGGTACCCAGCGCCATTAGGATTCCACTGATGGAAAACACCAGAAGCTCCTATACAGGATGCAGAGGAAAGCCCATGGGGCATTGTGAAGGTCTGGGAGAGTGCAGCAGCTGGGTGGGCAGAGCACTGGCTCCCATCCTGGGAGGCAGGGTGGTGTTTGGAAAGAGTGTGGGCTGCGAAGAGACAGAGCTCTTGTGTCTTCACTGTCTTCCTAGCCTTCGGACATTATCTCTCAGGGCAAAGAACACCCACCTGGAAGGTGACACAGGTGCCGTTCAGCCTGAGTGGCCCACGAGAGTCACAAGCATTAGCTTCTATCCCAGGCTGGCACTCTAGCCTGGCCCACGAGGAGGGGCTGTGGAAAAGAAGCTTCACAAATGGAAGAAGATGACAGTGGCCAAGGCAGGCATGTGCTATGGGGATCTGTCTCTTTCTCTTTCCCCTTCAGAGATGGCTTATATAGGTCCCAGCCATTGTGACCCAGAGCAACTCTTGGTAGCCTGAACTGGGCTGCTGTGCCTGGCTCTGCCAACCCTGGGGTGCCCTCCAGTTGGGTACTTCCAGGATGGCTTCTGTCAGGACTCACAGTGACAGCTTGGAGTCAAAGTCCTATGGCCAGGGAAGTCAGCCCACAGCTGTGATGAGTATACAGGATATGCCATGAACATGCACTGAACACAAAAGAGAAGACAGTGGAGTCTCTGTGGCTGGAAGGGAGAATGGAAAGGACCAGCAAGGTGGGATGAAGAGAAGATTAGTGTCTCTGAAGCAAGAGACACAAACCAAGCATCATGGGTGGTCACTGTTGGCTTTGAGAATAGGACTTCGTAGTAAACTCTGAACTACAATGCCTACAACTAGTAACCCGCAGCCAGTCAGGCAGGCTCCACAGACATCTGTTCAGAAAGTCAAGGGTGACCCCCATTCCCTGCCCAATTTTCTTTTTCTTTTGTTCTCCTCTCTCTTTTTTTTGTCTTCCTTTCTTCCTTCTTTTTTATTTTTTTCATACTGAGTAGCTCAGGCTGACCTTAAACCCCTGATCCTCCTGTTCCAGCCTCCCCAGTCCTTTGATTATCTGTTCCTGCTGCGTGTATGTGTGTGTGTGTGTGTATGGTATCTGTGTATGTGTAATATGTGTGGTGTGCATATGTATGTATGTGTACATGGTATCTGTGTATGTGATATGTATGTGTGTATCTGCGTGTGTGGTATGTGTGGTGGGTTTATGTGTGTGTAGTATGTGTGGTATATGTGTGTGCATATGTGTAGTATGTGTGGTGTGGTGTGTGTGTATGTGTGGCATGTGTGTGTAGTATATGGTAGTATGTGTGGAGTGTGTATGTGTATGTGCGTGTAGTATGTGTGGTATATGTGTGTATGTGTGTGTGATGTGTGTGTATAGTATTGTGGTGTATGTGTGTATGTATGTGTGTGTATGTGTGTGTGTAGTATGAGTGGTGTGTGTGTGGTGTATGTGTATTTATGTGTGTGTGTAGTATTGTGGTGTATGTGTGTATGCATGTATATGTGTATAGTATGTGTGTATGTATGTGTGTATGTATATGTGGTGTATGTGTGTATGCATGTATATGTGTATAGTATGTGTGGTGTATGTGTGGTGTATGTGTATTTATATGTGTGTGTGGTATTCTGGTGTATGTGTGTATGCATGTATATGTGTATAGTATGTGTGGTGTATGTGTGTATGTATGTGTGTGTATGTATGTGTGTATGTATATGTGGTGTATGTGTGTATTCATGTGTGTGTATGTATGTGTGTATGTATGTGTGGTGTATGTGTGTATGCATGTGTGTGTGAACATGTGTATATGTGGACACCAGAGGTCAACCTCAGGTATCTTCCTCAAACTCCTCTAATTTTTAAAGTCTCTTACTCAGTGATTCTCAACCTTCCTAATTCTGTGACAGTTTAACATAGTTCATGTTTCTTTTAAAGGGGCTTATTTTATGGAGACCACAAACCATATAGTTATTTTGTTGCTATTTCATAACTGTAATTTTGCTACTTTTATGAGTTATAATGTAAATATCTAATATACAACCCCCAAGGGGTGGTAACCCACATGTTGACAACACTGACAACTGAGCCTGAAGCTCCTGGATACACATTGTCACTATTCCTTTGCCCCAAATTGTTCACCAAGTTCCATCTGGGCTGTCATCCAACCACGCACTCCCATGCTGGGACTTGCCATGGGGCTCACGTGGGACTCCTAGCTGTATCCTGCTTAGTATCTAGGGCTCTAAAGAACAGACTCAGAATCCAGGATAAATCTGCTCACCTAGAAAGCTCCCATGAGCCTTGGGACATAAAGGGACAATGGGGGGGGGGATTCTCCTTCCCCAGATCCAAGTGGTAAGTTAGCAACGCCCAGAGATGCTTTCCCCACCCTGAGTCTGAGACGTGTTTGAGGCTTTTGACTGGAAACATCTTTTACTGTCTCATTTTATTCCTTAACGTTGTAAAGGCAGTGGGGTAACAAAAACAGCAGGCATGTAAAGGACCTCTGCTGAGGAAATGAATGGCAGGGTATGTCAAACATACACACACACACACACACACACACACACACACACACACACCAATCGCCTTGCCAGTCAAAGAAACTGGCTTGAAGGGTGACTCCTATATGGCAGCCTGGCTACATAGCTCAGCAACCTTGCCCCAAGCCATAGTCACTACTCTGAACATTGCACCAGTTGCCCAACCCACTCAACCCTTTCTCTGAGCCCTCCCCTCCCTCCCATCTGCCACCAGATTCTCCATCTCAGCCTCATGTCCTTAATCTTCTGTATATCCAACGCCCTGCCTGGTCTCAAACAGAACCATTAGTATGGTTATCTTGCAAACAAATGTTACTCACTGACTTCGTGGTTTCTGGCTTTCCATGGCCCCCAAACACCTGGCTCCTCCTTTACCTCTGTCCCTTCTCTAGGCCTACAGTTGGCCTGGGGATTCTGTCTCATCCATGCTCCCCTTCTCTATACAAGGAAGGACTGACCATCATGACATTAGTCCCTTCAGCCAACAAGAGCGAATCCTAGTAGGTCCCGACCACCCAGCCTCACTACTATGTACTCCACTCCAATCTCAGCTTCCAGAAACTGCTCTATTGGCCACAGTGGTGACCCAGGATGTGGGAGTCTCACCAGCTCCATTCTCCCAGGAAGCTTAGCACAGTGAAGAGCAGGGCAGCTGCAGGTACCAGCCTGCCTGCCAGGAAAGACCCCAAAAAGGGGTCAGAGTTCCCACCAAGACACAGTTCAGAGGCCTGTTGACACCCTTTCTGTCTCTGCCACCGACTCTTCTGTCCAGCCTGTTCTCTGCATTTCCCACCTGCAGCCCCAGTGAGGCCCCTCCTTCTGCCAAGTATGCTGATACTTTGTTCAGTTGGGCTCTACATTGTTACTCACTCGACCCATAGTGGCAGGACATGGGGGGTAGGGGGAGGGAGGGGAGGGCTTTCACTTCACTGTATTTGTGCCAGGCATATGCATATTCACATGAGCATTTGACGGAAGACTCAGAGACTAAGCCATCAGATTGTGCTGTTTATTGAGAATGCAACAGGGAGGGTTAAAGAACACAAGAGTAGCCAAGGCTGTCCCCTTTTCTCTGGTTCTGGGTACAAGAAAGTGAAGACAGAGTTCCTTTACTCTGAGTGGCCCCAACTCAAAATGAGACTGTGCTGGAGTGGGGTGGGGTGGCCACTCTGAGTTGGTTTTCTGTCAGTCTTCTTCTTGGGTACAGCTAGCTCCTGTCTATGACAGGAGCTGAGACAAAAGCACAGCAGATGAGCAAGCCCAGGTGGAGACCCAAGAAGCCTGGTTTTACGGTGAGGACAGAAGCAAAGGCTGGTGGAGGGACAGGCTGGACCTGAGCTGAAGCTGAGAAACCCCTGGTGTCTATCAGAAGCGCACCACATGGTAGCCCAGAGCTACCCAGGCTCAGAACACTTGGAGGGAGAATGAGGTTGGCTGAGGACACATCCAGGGGCCCAGGAGAGGTACATGGGAGTAGAAAGGGGGACGACAGGCTAGGGCACAGAGGGTGCTGAGGGATCGAGGACACAGGAAACCCTCTCACCGGCCACCTTTCTTGGAGGGGGTGCTCAGACTGGAGCTCTTTGTTAGGGTATCCTTGTAGTCGCTGGCACTTCCTCTGTTCCTGCTCTCCCCACCACGGACACTGCACACTCCAGAGATGCAGCTAGTACTATTGGCCACATAGCCACCGCTGACTGTGCTAGGCCGGAAGCCGTAGCCTCCACTGCCACTGGTGCTGCTGATAATAGCTGCAGAGAGAGAGAGAGAGAGAGGTGGAGGGGTGGACTCAGACCACTCAGGCAGAGCTAGGGAAGGGGGTCTCCTATCCCCACAATAGGTAGGGATACATGAGAACCTGATCATAGTCATTTCTTCATCCTGAGGAGAATATCCCAAAGACACCTTCCCCATGCCCTTGGCTAACTCAGTTTGTACCCGCTGTGGCTGAGTCTTGCCCCGTTGATACTCAAGATCGCCTCTCCTCCACCAGGCCCTCATGCACTGACCACTTGCACCTCCTATTAGTGGCTCTGCTAAATCTCCCACCTCTAACCTCTTTCTCCTGCTGGCTCTCCACAGATGGCAATCCAAGAGCACAGAATGAATCCTGCCGGCTTGAAACACCCCTTCTGGAGTTCCTTCATCCCTGCCTAAATCCCCAGTCCAGATCTGACAGTAACTTGCAAACTCAGCCTCTAAAGCCTGACACAGACCTCCAGGCATTTTATTAGAATTCCCCCTTCACTTCCCCCTCTCCTGTGGCAGAGGCTATCCCTTACTCCATCCCCTGGGAGGCAGAATGATGAAGATAAAGGGCCTTGGAGTAACATGAAGTTGGGAGACCTGTTCTGTGCCTTCCCTCTGGCTTTATGACCTCATCCTTTTCCTTTCTGCTTCTGAGACCCCTCATCTACACCCACAGGGTGTGACTAAGGCCCTTTCCAGTATCCAGTGCCTATGACTCAGGTCCAGGCCCACGGGTACTTACAGATGCTGACAGGGGAAGCATATTCTCCAGACATCCTGTTTAGGGAGAAAAGTAAAATCAGAAAGAGCTCCCTACAGTATCTTCTAAGCCACTTTCCCCTTCAGATTGAGATATGCTTTCTGGACCCAATGGGTACCTGTAGACACTTCAGGACTGCTTTAGCTCAGGCATAGCCTGAGGAGCTATGGAGGCCACCCTTTTACACTGGGGAGTAAGCAGGCAACACACTGGACCGAATTATAATTTTTAAGAGGTGCATACATAAGGGCTGTACTGTCCACTCCCACAGTGAGCCTTCTCCTCCCTAGTACACTGGAAGCTGAGGTGGCCAGATAGCCTGGCACACCTACAGTGTACCTGTGCTGTTGAGGAAGGGGGACATGGAGAAACGGGGTTCAGAAGATGAGAGAAACAGGAGGCTCCCAGACACCCTGGCAGGTTGTAACGGCTGGCTGTGCTGATATAGCTACGGTATAGCTCACTGCGGCACAGCACCCAGGATGAGGTGAGCATTCAGCCCTCGTGAACATGACTGCTACTTTTTTGAAATGGTTTTACATAATCTCAAACTCACTATGTAGTCAGGGGTGACCCCGAACCTCTCATCCCCTCCGACCATCTCACAAAAGCTGAGACATCAGGAAAGCACCATCATGTCCAGTTGTACACGGTTCTGATCATTAAACCCAGGGCTTCGCACACACTAGGCAGGCGCTCTACCAGCTAAGCTGCATCTCCAGCCCAGGCACACTCCGCACACCTGCATTCCTCGCTCTCCAGCAGTTTGCGGTAGGTGGCGATCTCCATGTCCAGGGCCAGCTTTAGGCTCATGAGCTCCTGGTATTCACGCAGCATCCTGGCCAACTCCTCCTTGGCCTGGTGCAGGGCACCTTCCAGCTCATCCAGCTTGGCCCGGGCATCCTTGAGAGCACTGTCTCCTCGCTGTTCTGCATCAGCGATGGCTGTCTCCAGGTTAGAAGCCTAAAAGCAAAGAAGTTAGAAAACAGAAGCAGGTATGGGCATTATCTGCAGCCAAACTCCTCACATTCAGTATGATACAGTAGCAAACGCCAACTTCATTGGATGCTCGCCAGGCTTCTGCCCTGACTGGAAGGGGCTGGCAAGCCCTGCTGGATCTCAGCTATTCACTTATCCCCAGACATCTGTGGTGAGGGGAAAGCATGCTTCCTGCCTTCTGGAGACCACAACCACCTCAGTGCCAGGCACTGATCACCAAGCAATCACTCACAGTGAATAAGTGGCTATCTGAGTTGCTTAGGGCCCCGGAGGAGCGATATTACAAGACGATGTGCTAGAATGTAGCAATTAGATGCAACCAGCCTACAGGTGAGGGTCACAAGAAGGAGAGTCTCCAGAATAACAAGTATTTGTCACGTGCTCAGTGTATACCCAGCACCTTGATCGCTCGGTGCATGCATCCCACGCCTCACCTCATTTGCTCCTTATGACCTCCCGTGAAGTAAGGAAGGGTGACTCGAATACACGGCCCCAGAGCTGCTGTGCTAAAGCCCATAGGGAGAGTGTGGGATAGGAGTCTAGAAGCTACAGATCCCATACCCTCACCATGCCTCCCCTCATCCGGTACAGAGGGAAGGTTGCTCCTAGGGGTCTTTGTTGGGCTTAGATGTGGTAGGATGGTGGGCATGGCTGTCCTTTCATTCTATCTGCATCTTCTGTCCCCACTGCTAACATGGGGCTTACCACTGCATCTGTACATCACTGGAGACTCCCTAAGTCCACTTCCCTTTTTCCCATATCAATGATATTTATTTATTAAGCTAGTGCTATGTGTAGGCACAGCTCAAGAAGCTGAGGGGGACATGAAGCAGCCAGTGCCCTGAGTCCTTTCAGTCCAAAGAGTGTGGGGGACAGGCAGCTGTCAGGAGGAACTGCCAAAAGCTGTGAACAGATCAGGGAGCACAGCCTCGAGGAGCACAGCCTGGGGGAGCACAGCTGGGGGAGGAGGTCCAGCCCATAAGCCAGGGAAGACTTCCTGAGAGAGAAGAGAATATTCAAGGAGAGGCGCTTAGAGTTGAGAAGAGAAGAAGGAAGTGGCCCAGAGACTTCCAAATGCTGAGGCAGTGACCTCACTGGTATCTTCTCTTGTTGCTAGAGACCTCTGGGAAGCTAAGGCCCTCAAGGAACTCACATGCACTCCACCAGGCTCACTGCCCCTGGCCACGGGCCAGAGCACCTCACCTGCTTCTTTGCATTCTCAATCTCTGAGCGGAGTCTCTGGATGAACCGGGTCAGCTCGGTGATTTCATTTTTGGTGTTTTTGAGGTCATCTCCATGGCGGCCGGCTGCCAGCTGCAGCTCCTGGAACTGGAAAGCCCAAAAAGCACAGAGATGGGTAAGTGTGATAGCATGGCTTCTGTGAGGTCTCTGCATCCCTGAATGAAGGGTCATGGCAGCACGGCACAGGGGACTCTGTCTTTAGCATTGACTTTTACCTGACATATCAGGTTTATCCTTCACATAATGGAGTCACCCCACCTGACACCTCCCACCTGAAGCCCCTCTCCTGACACCCCCAGTCCAGTCTCAACTTCTCACCTTGGTCTGGTACAGGGCCTCAGCTTCGGCCTTGCTCTTCAGGGCAATCTCCTCATACTGGGCGCGAACTTCATCAATGATGCTATCCAGGTCCAGGTTCCTATTGTTGTCCATGGACAGGATGACGGACATGTCGCTGATGTGGGACTGGATCTGAGCCATCTCCTACAGGGACCATGAGCAGGGGCATATATTAGCTTGACCACTGTCAGATTCTAGTGATATCACACAGAGCCCAAAACACAGGACTGTGAGCTTCGTGTGCAAAGAAAATACCTTGCTGGGCCCTAGGCAGATTCTGCTGCCTTAGAATGAGGCCTCAAGATAGACGGGGCTCTCAGCAGTAATATGTAAGGTGCTTGGTCAACTGAGAGGCCTCCTTGATAGCTGGAATCTCTGTGACTCTCATAGGCCCTAAACTAGAGTTTTAGCCAGTGGCTACTCTGAAGAATAGAATGCAAACACCATGAGAATGGGGTGTCAAGAGACTTACAGCCTCGAACAGACACTTGAAGAATTTGATGTCCTGGTCCATGGTGTCCACCTTGGCCTGCAGTTCCACCTTGTTGGCATAAGCTGCATCCACATCCTAAAAGAAGACCCAGCAATCCACAGTCACCTCAGTTGCCATCCAGTAGGTGACACTCAGATCAGCCCAGCTGCCTGGCTGGAGACACTATCTTCTCTTAAGTGGCTCATGGGGAAGGCAGTTGGGACAGCTGAAGGCATAGCCCCAACTTCCCATCATGAGAACCTCTTCCATGATTAGGAATATGGTTGTCCCTCAGAAAGGGTATCACAGTGAAAGAATATCTGAGCCAAGTCCCATGGGTGCAGGAAGCCCCTCGTGCTGGCTCTGCCCTGTCAACCTGCCCGTCATTCCTTGTCCTGGACACTGTGGACCCCTTGTTATTTCTGCACCATCTCACTTAGGAACTGATGGTAAAGCTATGGTAGCCTCTCTGGCCAGACACCTTCCACTCACCTTCTTCAGCAGCACAAACTCATTCTCTGCAGCTGTCCGCCGGTTGATCTCCTCCTCATACCTGTGGGAAGGGCAGGGATCGTAGCTTATATCTTTCACCCAGGGGAGACTTTGAATACATAGAAAAATGCCAGGCTATGGGGCATAGAGGATTGAAGGGATAGCCAAGCAAAGAAGGCTTCCTGGAAGAGAGGATGATGGCAAAGTTTGGAAGAAGATCCATCTTGGAAAAATGAGGAAGTACGTGGAGCAAATGGCCTTTGGGAAACCTAGGAGGATGCAGGAAGCAAGCTGCCTCACACCAAATGTGAGCAGTGCTCCGGGTTATCAAGTATTCTCATGCCACTTCTCAACACAGAAGCTCTGAGAATGTGCAAAGTTTACTCATGGTTGACCTCAATCCAGAGCTCTGACACTGCCCAGCAACTTGGAAGTTTGTCCCTGGTGTCAGTCTAGAGGCTATGGATCAGGGAGCTCATGTTTACTGGTTGGTTGACACAAGCTAGAGTCATCAGAAGGGGCCTCAGTTGAAGAAATGCCTCCATGAGATCCAGCTGTAGGGCATTTTCTCAATTAGTGATCAATGGTGGAGGGCCCAGCCCATAGTGGGTGGTGCCATCCCTGGTCTGGTAGTCCTCGGTTCTATAAGAATCAGGCTGAGCAAGCCAGGAGAAGCAAGCCAGTAAGCAGCACCCCTCTATAGCCTCTGCATCAGCTCCTGCCTCCAGGTTCCAGCCCTGCTTGAGTTCCTGTCCTGCTTCCTTCAGTGATAGACAGTGCTGTGAAAGTCAAATACACCTTTTTCTCCCCAACTTGCTTTTTGGTCATGGCGTTTCACCACAATAATAGAAACCCCGACTAAGACAACATTCAGGGTTTCTGATGTGGTGACTCTACTTGGTATGACCTACAACATATGAACTCTCCACCTCCGAAACTTTGAAACCAAATGTTTAAGCCCTTCAAAGGGACAGGGTGCGCTGTCCTGCACCAGGTTCCCTCCTCACTCACTTCTTCTTGTAGTCCTCCACCACGTCACGCACATTCCTCAGCTCGGAGTCCAGCCTCACTCTGTCCCCAGACAGTGTTTCCAGCTGCTTCCTCATGTTGCTGATGTAGCCCTCGAGGATGGGCTCCAGGTTGTTCTTGCAGTTGTTCAGGTCCAGCTGCTGCAGAAGCTCCCACTTGGTCTCCAGCACCTGGTTCTGCTGCTCCAGGAAGCGCACCTGGAACCCAAATCCAGAAGATGTTGAGCCCCACAGAATTCATCACACTTGACATGCAAAGCCGTTATACTCAGTGCTCCGGATGAGCCCTTTCCTCTACCCCTCTACAGCTGTAAGAGGTGGGCACACCGTTAGACATGATCAGTGGAGAAGAAACTGAGGCATAAGAATGTTTGCTTCTTTCCAGGGTCTAGAAATTTATTCAAGGGTAGAGCTCAGAACTAAGCCTAGACAGGCATCCCCTCACTGAGAATATCCAGTCAACCAGAGCCCACTGTAGCCAAGCCAGATTAAGGCAGGAACATGCCAGAAACAGCAGAATAGGGCCAGGCTGGATATATCTGTCTGAAAAAGGCCACCCACTCTGAAGATGGGGTCCAGCCCTTGTCTATGACATGTCAGAGCACAGTGAGGTTAGGGCCAAGAGCTTCTGGGAATTTCAGAATCCCATTCCATGTCTTTGCCCACAGATGCTGTCTCCTGAGCAACTCTCAGAACCACTATCTCTGGGACAAGTACAAGACATAGAACAAGATGGACAGACAGACAGAACCTGATCCTCACCAGACCGTGGAACTTAGCATATACTTCTTCTATCTGGTTACGATTTTTTTAAATTTGACTTCTCTCTTTAGCATCTGTGAGCACAGGCGCATTTATGCAAGGCTGTGTTCACAGGATGTGGGAACACTGCCCAGAATTCTACACTGTGAGGAGACTGCACTGAACTGCTGGTCTCTAACAGATCATCCACTACTTGGCTTGGTTTAACCGATCCACACTTCTTCCTGAGCTGAGCTTCACCCAGGACAACACGGTACCCAGCATGCCACTAGACATGAGCAGGTCACCAATAGGAGTGGACACCTCTTCTCTGTCTGAGGTTGTGAGGTCACAGTGTTCCTGGGACCAAAGTCCCTCAAGAGCTGACCAGGCTCTGGACCTCCTCCCCAAGAGGAAGGAACCTTCACCCAAATCCTCAGGGGACCTTGATCGTCTATGACTAGCCCATAGGACAAGAAGCTGCAGCTCCAGCCATGGCCCCTCTGAGACTGAGCTGAGGGTGGGGCCTCCACACAAGAGGACTAGCGCTGGGGCAGGGTCTGCTCTCCTGGCCACAAGGCCCAGGACTACAAGGCTTGACTGTCATAGAGCCACCATGTTTCTCTCATCTTTGCCCCTAGACCTGGAGGTAAGAGTCTGAGGGTGAACTCTCACTCTGCCTGTCCTGCAAATGGCTGTAGGTGTGCTGTTGGCCAATACGGTGGTTTTGCTGACCCAGAAGCTGAGGGAAGCCACCTTTCAGATGCCACAGCAGACATTCTGACTGAGAGAGGATTCGTTGAGGTCTTGTACAGATCTGAGATTCTTTTGCTTCCCAGAACCCTTTCCAAAAAACATCAGCCCCCCGTTTGAGGAGGACTTGGTCTGAGCCAGGCATTGTGCCAAGATCTTTGCATGAGATTTCTTTTCTAAACTGACAGACACCCCAGAGGAGGGTCATGATTTCCCCACTAGAGGGAAGGACACAGGACCCAGATGAAACAAGTAATTTTCCCCCAAAGCCTGCCAAGTCTGACTCCAGAGTATCTCTACCCCTATCTTGAAGAGAGCCCTTGACCACTAAACAAACACCCCCAGTGGAGACATCCTTTAGCCTAAAGGGCCTGGGCGACCACACACCTGTACATGATCCACCAGTCAGGTGACTAAGGAACACGATCAGCCTGAGAGGAAGACAGGCTCTTTGGACCCTGAGGCTGATTCTCTCCCTGGTCTTTACTGTGTACAGCCAGTGTGACCACAAGGCTTAAGAATGGTACCAATCTAGGTCTCCACAGCAAGGCCCATACCTCTTTCTCAGGGTTCCTCTGTGAGTATCCCTGAAAGCTTCTACCAGCAGAAACTACCCCTGCAAGTGTTCTCTATCCCGACAGCAGAGAATCTTTTACAAGATATTAAGGTTACAAAATGTACCAGCCTCGTGTACAGTAAGTGTACCAACTTCAGTGCCTCTAGAGGGATTAAAGATAACCTACTCCAAGCAGTTGAGAGAAGAGCTGTTCCCAGGTCCCTTTGTCCCAGCAGACTCACCTTGTCAATGAAGGAGGCGAACTTGTTGTTCAGTGCCTTGATCTGCTCCCGCTCCTGGGCGCGCACCTTCTGGATCTCAGGGTCCAGCTCCACATTGAGTGGGGCTAGAAGGCTCTCATTTACTGTGACCTGGTGGATACCGCCGGGCGGGCACACAGTGGGGCACACGGGTCCCAGGGCCACACTGCCAAAGATACTTCCGGCAAAGCCACTGGCCCGGTTCCTGCCAAATCCAAAAGCTCCATTCTTCCCGCTGCCACTAGCCATGTTGAAAGTGATATTCCTGGCACCTCCCAGGCTGTAGAGGCTCCGACTGCCAAAGCCCCCGCTGAGCCCTTTGCCTCCTGCCCGGTAGGAGGATGAGCTTCCCCCGGACAGCACTGCAGAGCAACCGCTGAAGCCCCTGTTGCCGGCTCCAGACTTGCAGCTGTATTGGCGACTCATGATGTTGGAAGAGATGGAGTAGAGGTGCAGGAGGAAGGCAGATTCCACGAAGGTTGTGTTGGCTGTAGTGAGGACCGACAGGTGCCTTTATATACGCTTGCCATTGGTCTAGCAGATGGGCAGTGGAGAGTTTAATTCGTGGGTTTGGCTTGCCTGGAAGCAAGAAGTCATTTTCTCTATGCTGAGCCAGAGATCGGCCCTCCCCACCTCTGAAACAACATGAAACTGTTAAATTGCTGGGCTTGCAAACTTCGCTCTGGTAATTTGGGTCTTATCTAATTAACCCGCTGTTATAAGGTAATTTGCCCCAGGCCACAGCCTCCCCAGGGGAATGTCACCACCACTCCACCATCTCCCAGATTCATCTCTCTGCGGTTGGCTTTCTTGCAGGGGTTCAGAAGGCAGAGATGGCGTTGATATTTTGGACAGAACAGGCCACTAAGTACAATGCCCAAGGACTCTACCACAGCTGTATCCTCTGGCCTAGAAAGGGGAAGCCCAGTTGGGCAGACTTTCTCCCCAGGCCTCCTGCAGATATAAACCATGGAGAGAAGTGAGTCTCTCTATTGGAGTACCAGGGTGACGGGATCCTATCTTTAGCATGGGACCTGGGCAGCCCAGGCCACGACAGTTGTGAGCTCATGACAACCATGTGTTTATCACACTTTCTACAGAGCTAGATGTCCCCAGTGCACCTTTCAATTTGGTAAATTTGGTAAGGGGCTGAAGAAAGGGGTAAGCCTCTGATCATTGGGGAAAAACAAAAGGCAAGAGAGTGGAGTTTGGTAGGGACTCCACAGGCAGACAGCACAGCAGACCACCACGGTCTGAAGAGTTCAAAGGGCACAGGAGTTCCATTTCATTATGCCTCTCTGCTGCCATGTTTATCTGCATGTTCACAGTAAGGGCAGGAATCAGTTGTCATCCATGGGCCCTAGCTCCAGCTACTACTGCCCAGGCCTGGGAATTGAGGAGTCCAGCTAGGGCCATTCCTAGGCATCCAAACTTCACACAGCTAAGGTCAGAAAGCCCTCAACGGGAATACTACTGCACACTGCAACAGTTTTGTTGTTGTTGTTGTTGTTTTCTGTTGCTGTTGTTTGTTTGGTGTGTGCTCCCTGACTGCGGTCCCCTCTATCCCAGGTCAACAGCTTTCACGACGGGCCCCGGTGACTCCATTGATCATTCTGTGCAGCCCGTGGCTGCCTCGTTCCTGGAGAATGGCCTCCCTCAAAGTTCCCTGACAAGGCCCCATAGTCAGGTGGGGCTCTCAGCTGAGTAGGTCTCTAAAGGGAGAAAAATCTGGACATGGTCTGGGCTAGAGCTCTATCCGGATTCAATGGGCTCGGAGCCCGCTCTCTCCTCCTCTGTGTTCCTTTCCATTCCCCCCTGCCATCTTATCTTTATCGCTGACATCAAAACATCATAGCTCACGCCCTCTAGCCTCTCCCCCCCCCATCCATTCTCCATCTACCTCCCCCATCTTTTATTCTCTCGCATTCTCCCCAGCCCTCCTCACAGATCCTCCGGGACCAGGTCAGAGCTCCGCTCCCCTCTCTCTGTCCTAAGCCTGCTCTTGGATACATAGTAACAACTTCCTCACCGCTCCTCAGGCGTCCACACCACGCACCATCTTAGCTTCCTTTGTGAGGATAGTAGAGCTTCTCCAGACCAGAGACATCCAGCATGGCTCTCTCCTCCCCCAGTCCCTGCTTCCCCCATTAGCCTCCATCCAGTTCCCACGGAATGCCTGTGTAACACTGATGGGCTTTTCCGTGCTCTCAGAGCACAGCCCTGGCACAGAATCCCTGTCAATGGCTTTGCCAGCTACACAATCCTCTGATATACATGGCAGCATCCCTGCCCAGTCAGCCGTGTCCTGCATTCTCTGCTCCTACCCATGCACTGTTGCTTGCTGCTTCCTGTCCATCCATGGACACCTCATCTTCTGGCCTCATCTTCAGTGCCCCTCAATGTTTACCCAAGCTATCCCTGACCACTTCTGTCCCCCCGCTCTGACCCACACCCCTCTTCTCCTCTGAAATTCTGCTTGAAATCCAGGCTTCTGGTCTCGCCTGTCTGTTCTGCACTCTGGTCCTCTGTCCATGACATCTACATGAGAGAAATGGCATTTTCTGAGCATGATGAAGGTCCAGGAGCCAGTGATGCCTCCCTCTGTGGGACCCTTGCAGCCCTGGGCCAGCCCCCTCCCAGTAGACAGCCATTTGCTGGAGACACAGTAAACAGCAGAGATGGATGTTAGACTTTTGTTCACCTGGAGTGGGACCAGATGGTAGCCTGGACCCCAGAGAATCAACTTCCTCTCCATCACCGGGTTTGCCCTTTCTGGTCTCAGCTTCTCCCTTGGAGAATGTAACAATAGACATTAACACAGGAGTGGCAAGGACTGCTCGTGTTGTTCCACGGGAAGCACCCCCTAAGGCCTGACACATTCTTAATGTTCAATAACCGGTGTCAGTGACTAAAGAGCCAGAGGCTGGCCTGCCTTCCCTCCTTCCTCTCCAGCGTGGCATCTTCATCAGCACATTCTCACCAAGTGGCATGAGGTGCTGAGGACAGGGAAGAGGCGGTGACCCTACAAGCCCCAGGCTCTCCCAGACCGCTGTTGATCCCAGAAAATTGACCATTATGAATAATAATAGTAATAGCCACAGTCAACCGAGTGGCTGCCAGGTATAAAACTCAGTAGGAAGCACTTTATAGACATTATGTCACATCTATTGGTGTTGGCCCATTTATCAAATATTTGTTGGACACCTAACCAACTTCTGATGGAAACAGTCCAAAGCATCCTGCCTCCAAAGGGCTTGTTCTCAGTGTCCCTGAGAGAAACAGCTCACTAGGTTATTACCAAGTCGTTTACACAGTGGCACAAACTAATCAGATCTTGGCCATTAGGAACACAACGCCCAGTGTTGTTGATGAGGATGATAATTGAGGAGGAAGCGACAGAGTTCTGGACCACCCACAGGAAGGGTGGGCCCAGATTGGGTACCTGGGATGCTTACATTTTGCTAGAGGGTAAAGGGAGGGAGTAAAAAAAAAAGACCAAAATGGAGCCTCAGTTCACAAAGGGCTCTGCCTTTACCTGTGCCTTAGCAGAGATTGGGAGAGAATTGTGGGCAGGAGAAGGTAGACTGACCCCATGCTTTGGGAATCCCATGGCCTGATGGTGGAGGCCTTACCCACCTGTCCCCACGCAGGTGGTTCTCTGTGAGAGAACTTTTAGTGATCCTTACCTATCCGTGCATGTCTTAGGGACACAGTGTTGCTCACCTGTGAAATGGGGAGATGATGGGGACATAGAAATAAAACCCTGAAGATACCAGGAAGATCTGGCTTAGACATTCAGGGAAAGGCCAGCGGTTTGTCCAATCAACTTGACACACATCTCTCTTCTCTGAAAGACTGCTGGAACCCTGGCTTCTGGCCTGGTCTGTCTCGTCTGCGCTCTGGTCTTCTGTACATGATGTCTACATGAGAGAAATGGTGTTTCTTGAGTGTGATGAGGGTCCCAAGGATCCTCCGTGTGGCTCTTGGCTGTACGCTCAGTTCTTTTATTTTGCTTATATGAGTAAGTTGTAGTTTTCTCTACATCTGTGCTTTTGTGTGTGGCGACAATCGGTTGACACATTTATTTGTGTCCTGTGGCTTTGTTTTGGTGTGTCTGCTGTTCCTTTCCAGAGGTCTTGGGCCAGTAAGCCTCTTGTGAGAAAAATCTCTGAGAAACTTGAGTCCATGAGGCTGCAGCTTCAGGGTTGAAGACAGAATGAGCAAAGAGACCACCCTTAGGAAACTAAAATCATATGGGCCACCTGCAGGAGAGGCTTTCCTTAGAAAGAGGCTTTCTTTCCTTAGAAGATTCCAGTCTTCTAAGGGAAGAAGCATTGAATTGATTGTTTTAAGAAGTCAAGGAAGCAGCCCAGGACACACGTGGGACACAGGTCATTTGTGGGGAAAAGAAACTCCTGAGTAGACTGAAGTGATGGTGAGTAGAGGGTGACCTTGGGTAGAGAGATTCCAGATCCCAAGCTGTGTCTGAGACAGGGAGCCACTGAAGGCTGTTGAGTCTGAAAGGGCCCAAACTGCACATCTAAGGCAGAATCTATTCCTGTGTGAATAAAACTTGGAATGGGAGAGGCTAGAGGCACCAGGAGAGGGCTGGGTAGTTTTCTGAGTGAAGTAATTATCTCCAAAATTAGAGAAAATGAGCAGGGTTATTTGATGACATCAGCTCGTGTCCTTGCAGGCGTCCCCAGCTGATGGAACAGGTTGTGTGTTGCCTGAGAATCCCCAAAAGGGGTCTCCTTGCATGCTTGCATGGCCTCAGGTAGTCAGTGCCCTCAGCCTGAGTCAGCAGGACTGACTGCAGTTCCTAGGGGACTTGGCCACAATCAGACCACTTGAGAGCAGGACACGTGTTCAGCACATTTGGTACTTAAATGGCCAAAGGTGAGCTCACCCCAAGGAGCAGGCTATAAAGGACAGGGGCATGCCCTGGATACAGCTCTGCTCCCACCCAGCCACAATACATTCTTGCATTGTGAGATGACATTTGGGCCAGCTCTGTCTCCTGCTGCCTCCATTAGCTCTCTGGCCAGGACACTTCCTTTGAGCATAGTTGAGCATTTCCCTTCTTTACCTGCTGATTCCACACCTCTGACATAGCGTGTGGACTTGGGACTCTGAGGACCTATATCATAGTCTCTCCTGGGCCACTCATGACCTATGTGACAGTGGGTAGGGCTTCTACCTTCTCTACATCCCTAATGAGGGGACACCAACATCTGTTCCACCTACTCCCCAAGGTGGATGGAAGATATCTTGTAAATAATAATAATGATGATGACCATGACCGTGCTGGCTAACACTTAGTCAGGGTTCATTGTGCCAGCCGTGGTTCTAAGCACCTCACGTATATTAATTCACCTAATCCTCACAGCAGCCCTGAAGGCAGCCACTATTATTATCCCTGCTTCTTAAATGAGACATCAATGCTGAAGGAAGTTTGGCAATTTCCTCGAGGTGGCACAGCAGGT